TTTTGATGAATTCTGGTTTATTTCAATGTAATGCACTTTTAACATTAATTTTATATAAATCCATGCTCTATTTCCTGCTGTGTCCCAGCGAGTCCCAGAGCTCTACAGGAACCTCGCCCCAGCCCATCCCTCCAGCAGGCACCGAGTCGGGGGCAAAGCGGTGAAATGCAGATATTCAAATTGCAGAACGATTTCAGAGGCTCAGACCGAGCCCCCCGGGCTCAGCCTGGCAGAGATTCATCCCTCAGCTTCATCCAGGGCGGGGGAAAGGCCACAAGAAACAACTCAGAGCCAAAGGAAATATTCCCAAGTCAGCTCTGCAAAGATGGAAAAGCTTTTCCTCCAGCTGAGACACAGGAAGAAGCCTCAAAACCCAGTGGATGTGTTTCCATTTTAGAGGCATTTTCTAAAAATAAATAAATAAACAGGGTGGAGCAGCTCAGTCAATAAAATACATTATTTTTTTCTCCTAATAACACCATCGCATGGTGCTTCCAAAGCTCTGCAGTGGCACATTTTGGAAGAGCTTTGCCATTAGGAAGATGTTTTAGAGATGCCAAAAGAGCAAGAAATTAGTGTCTAATTACTGAAAGGTGGCTGTGGCTTGTTCTCCAGATAATAAGTCTATTTATTTCCATGCAATATTCTAGTATTTCTTTCATTATATTTGAATTTAAATGAATTTTATTAATTTTAATTTCATTAAAATTATCAGTTTAACCATTTCAGTAGCTCTTAAAACCTAACTGCCCTTCACGTGAAGCACAAACTCATCCGTGTGTGTGAACAGGGAGAATAAAGGAGAATTTATCTTCATTGTATGTGGCTACAGAACTGCTTTTTCCTCCAGTAAAAATCTGGATTTTGTGCACATCCTGAGGCATCTCCAGGCGCAGGACTGGCATTTCTATTTGTGAACTGAGCAAGCAACAACAGCTACGAGATTTTCAACGAATACACAAAGGTAATTCAGTCATGGAAAGGATATGAATGTATCAAAATTTTAATAGCTATTCTTCTAAACAGATTAAAAGGACTTAAAATGTACAAGGCAGGCGTGGCACTAAATCGGAAGAGTGTTTTCCCTCTGTTTAGTACTACAAAGGTCTGCAGAGAAAAAAAAGAAAGAGAGAGAAGAGTTAATGCAGGAAAATCACAGCAGGAATTACACAAAGCAGATAAAATTCCAGGGTAAAAACCCAGCATTTTCTGTTGTTTTTTTAAAAAATAATCTCCTTTATGAAGCTCCCATTAGGGTACAAGACACCTGAACATCACGGGCATCACCCACCAGACACCAGGGGTAATTCTACTCCAAAAATCCATTTAATTTGAGACCTCAGCCAGGGCAGAAGCCAAATCTCCCAGCCAAGCCCCTCTTTCCTCTCCCACAGCCTTTATTCCTTTATTAACCCAGGCCCCAGAGGCTCAGGAGCACAGCCCCTGCCTCCTTCCTGCTGGAATGTGAAATGTAAAGAGCTCTCAGAATTTGAGCTTTGTAAGCTGAAATTTAAAATTAAACACAGGATTTGATCCGAGACCTTGGAAGAGGCCTTTAAACTTAAGTGTTAAAAATGAGAATGTGGATTTAAAGTAGGGACACGTTAAGTTTAGTAAAGGAAAGTCTGAAGTTTTAGAGTTTAGGATGTAGAAAAAATTAGTTAGGATATAGAAAAATTAGTTTAGGATATAGAAAAAAGTAGTTACAGAGGTAAGAAGGAGTTTGAAACACTATAGGTTTGTGTGTTATGATTGGCTAACAAAATTTACACTGTAGTATGGGTCTACAAGATGAAATATTTAAGGATTGAGTCAAAAATATAAATACCTTTGCTAGCAGTGTTTAATTGGTTAATAACTCTTTAAAAGGTCTTGTAACTTTCTGAGTGATGCTGTAACAATGTGAGCTGAACTCACCCTTCTTACTTAGGTTAGAAAATAAGAAAATAAACTGCATCACTAAAAACAACTCAGAGGTCTTGTCTCAAACTTATTCAAAACCCCCCACAAGTGAATTACCACACTCCCCAAACAACCACAGCAAACCCCACTGTTACAGATCCCTGGAAGGACAGACTGACAGGCAAACAGGACCAAAATGCGAGGGCAGGGTCCCCCAGGCCAGCGGGCACAGGTCACCCCCAGCACAGCCACCTCACTGCTCTTCCCCACAGAGCTGGTGAGGATGTGAGGCTCATTCTTCATTAGGAACCTGTGGGATGAACTTCAGGTTCATTCTTCATGAAGAACCTGTGGAATGAACTTCAGGTTCATTCTTCATTAAGAACCTGTGGAATGAATTTCAGGTTCATTCTTCATTAGGAACCTGTGGAATGATCCATGTGAGCGTGGAGCAGAATCCTGCTGGTCCATCTCCCTGCAGAGAGCAGCACCAGGAGCATCAGGGCAAACCGGGTCTGTGGGTGCTCCACAGCAGCACAGCCAGAGCACCCACCATCCCAACCAGAGGGGAAAATGCAATTTGTGTGCACTGAGAAGCCAAAGCCCCTTCCCTGGCACCATTTATCCTGTTTTTATCCTCTCCAGGATGGCCCCAAAGCACAGCTGGACTCACTCCTGTCTCCTAAAGACTGGCTGAGCTCAGAGCCCAACCCCAGGGAATCCAGCAGGGCTCCCTGCCAGCACAGGCTTCCCCAGGAGACTCACTCTTAGGAAATTTGTCATTTTCCTCGTCAATGAAACAACACGTTTGAGCTCGTTTGGTTAAATTAGACCATTGAGCAGTAAATTATTTGCAAAGGAAATCAAAATCAGATTGTGGTTCTGCACAGAGAGAGGAAGGTTCGTTAGCAGAACCACTAATGCATCCCCACCAAAAGCACTTTAAAGACAGTCCTGGACAGCTCTTAAATTGCAGCATCAAGAATTAATGACCAATTCACCTTGGCATGGACAAACCTCCTAAAAGGCCCAAAGTTTTGCAAAATTGCCATTACAGAGTGCTCAGGGGACACTCAATTCTAGGAATCAGCTCTCCCCCACTCCCTGACACCACAAACTTTCCAGGACTCACATCCCCTTCCTTTTAAATCTCTTTAAAAATGATCTCCCAAACCTTTTGAGCAACGAACCCTCCAGCAGGACCATGCTGGACATTACGTGGGACAAGGGGAGCTGGAAGAAGACTGGAACTTCCCAAACCCCACTCAGAAATTCTGAGAGGTGGCTCAGCCCCGCTGTGTCTCCATCTCCCATGGGAAAAACCCCCAGGCAGGAGCCTGTGGCTCCTTCAGCCAAAACCAGCAAGGCAGGAGTAAAGCCATCCCTCCCCTGGAGACACAGGGATGTGTGTGTGGCTTCCTGGAGGTGGAACAACCCAAAAGTGAGCTGGGGCAGGTGGATGGGAAGTGCCCCAGACGAGGGTGGGACACGGCAGGGATCACATGAACACCCAATTTCACCAGGACTGACTCAGGAATTCGGCACTGCCTGCTGTAAAACCACAGAATCCCCAAATCCCCGTGGTTGAAGAAGTTCTCCAAGAGCATCGAGCGCAGCTTGTGACCAAATCACCCAGCCCAGGGTGCCGAGTGCCACCTCCAGCCATTCCCTGGACATCCCCAGGGATGGGCACTCCAAACCTCCCTGGGCAGCCCCCTCCAAAGCCTGAGCACCCTTTCCATGAAGACATCTGAGTTTTCACCCCACTGCCAACCAAACATGAACTCCACGTCCTTCTTGCTTAGTTCCTCACCTGTTATGTGACTGCACCTAAGGCAGGTGCTTGTTTTCTCCCTGTGCTCTGCCCAAATTTCTCCTTTTGGGCCACAAAACCTGTTGAATTGTTCCTGCCTGTAAAGCCCATCATCCCGGGCCTTTCAGCACAGCCCTCGCAGCAGTGAGCTGTCAGAATTCCAGTCTGCTCATGGATTATGACAGTTCTGAGATCCACCATTCCCCCGTGTACCCTCTAAAATCCTCAGTAAATCTCTACTTGGTCTTGTCAATAGAAAGGAAAGCCCAAAAGCCAAGAAATGTTTGGCAATTTAAACCCTCTTTTAGTTTTCCATTCTGCTGCTGACATATTAAAACTCCATTTCAAAATGGCTGCAAGCTCTTAAAACATCTTCTGGATCTGGGCCAAGAACATCCTTAAGAGCTTTTAAGATGGGCTGAAGCAAAGCTCAAAACTCAGAGGAAGGTGATACCTGGAAAAAGGTATTTTGCAGTCAGTTTAAGAGATGGTTTTGTCTGCTTGGCCTTCCCGAAGCCTCCCTTTGATAGAGCTGTGAAAAAACTCCATCTTCTTTAGTTTCCATCAAGTTCATCAGGACTCACCAAAACCTTCTCCATAAAAAGAAGGTTTCATAAAAATCAATCTGCAAAATGATGACTGTGCTTGGGAGAGCAACAGAACCAACTGGGGGATGGCAAGAATCATTCCAGCTCCATCAAGATTTAAAACATTCCTGCTTCCTGCAGGTTTGCCACTGAGCAGTTCTGCAATGGCTGAGGAGTGAGGGGGAGTGGGCAGGAGATTTGAGAAGCAAACAGCTTCAGGAACAGCCTCAGAACATATGGGAGCACATTCCTGCAGGAGCAGGGGAGAGCGGTGACTTCCTGGTGACACCCTGAGTGAGCCACTGGGGCTGCTGGAAAAGGAATTTACAGCAAAACTCAGGCACCCTGTGGGCTGAAGAATTCATTACAGACACAACCAGCCCTGAGAGCAGCCCTGGGGAGAAGGGTTTGAGGTGCACCAGGAGCCCCCAGCAGGGAGGGGGGATGACCCCACCTGCAGAGCTGCCCTGGGAGCTTGTGGAGCTGCTGGAGAGAGTTCCTAATTTTTAAGTTTTATCGACCTCACAATCTGCCTGTGCAAGGAAATCCACTGTGCCTCTGGGCCAGAAATAATTCTCCACCTTTTCCCCCATCACGAGTGGGCTGCAGTTGTTCAGGAGATGGGAGCAGATCCCACACTTGGCATTCCCTGGATCCACAGCACCAACAGCCAACAGCTCCATCACACCCTGCCTTCCCTCCAGCACCTGGGGAGGACTGCAGAACACGACTGCCAGGGAATCCAATCTCTTTTCTTCACTCTTTCCCTTCCCCACTCACTTTTCCTGCTCCTTTGAAGCCAACTGGAGAGACAGAGTGCAAGAAAAAAACACCACTAAGCACTCAAGGCCTGGGAAAGGCAATGAGACGCTGGAAATAATAATAAAAACCTGATTTTTGGGATGCCTCTGACTCTTTCCTCTGTTTTGGTGACTTCACTGAAATGCAAACCCAGGAATAGTGTCGTGACCTTGCAGAGTCACCACCTCTCCCTGCAGACACCACGGGCCAAGGCTCCTGAGGCACATCCCGGAGCCAGACGTGCCTCCTGCAGCTGGTCCCTCACATCCCTGTGATTTTCCTGGGCCAAGGTGACATTCTGGACCCACAGGGCCCGTTTCCAAAGCTGGCATGTGACTTGACAAAGCTGCAAGTCACTCCCTTGGCACGAAGGCTCCGGAGAGATCCTCAGGTGCTCCTGTGGCACCATAGGTGACCTGGGATGTCACCTATGAGCCCCAGAGCTCACGTGTGTGGGGACAGGCTTCCTTTTCCCTCTGAAATCCATCCACCCAAAGTTATCCTCAACTCACTGAATACCCAGGGACCTTCTGCTGCCTCAGCACTGCAGCCTTTGCAGAAGCAGGAGCACCTTCACTTCATTCTGCAGCAGGGATGGAATTCCAGGGGATTGGAAATGGAAGGTGCTCGAGGAGCAAGGTCCCAACCTGGCAGAGGGAAAATGGATCAGAAGGAAAGAAAGGTGTAGAAGATGGGGAAACATCCAAAATGGAAATCCTGGCTGTAGGAATGAAAGAGGAAGGTGTCCCTGATGTCTTAATAAACACTGAAGGATTTAAGGCCGTGAGGCTGCTCTGCTCCCAAGGCTGGGGCTGCTCACACAGGGCTTTTCCTGAATTTTCTTTGCACATGTGAACAAAGAAGTTCATGTACCTGCCTCCTGGATATATTAATTGAAATGGTTTGGGTTTCCATAACAAAAATGGGTAACTATTGCTCCTAGCCTGTGCTTCAGGCCAGGAACTGGAAGGCCATTACAAGTTGTAAAATAAGAAATCATGAAAAAATTCTTTTTGGTCCTTACACAGAGACAGAAAGGAGCTGAAGCAGCTCCCAAACCTGCTGCCTGCGAGCAAAGGGATTCCAGATTCTCCTCAGAGCCATGATTTACCCCTCACTTCAAGACACTCAGGGGCTAGAATGTGTCCAGAGCTGGGAACAAGCTGAACTTGATCCTGGAGGTCTTTTCCAACTTCAAAGATTCTGGGATTCTGTGACTCTCATCTTGCAAAATGAAACTGAGCAGAGGGAAGAGCAGCACCTTGGACAAACCCATGGCTGGACTTGTGACTCCCTGTGCCACGGTTCTGTTTCCAGGTCACACTGTTTCTCCTTTAAATATCAGTTTACAGGTGCTGGGAGGTTCAGCTGCTCTGTTAAAATGCAGTTTCAGTTTCCTCAGACAAACCAAGATCACTGTGTCCTCCTGCAGGGAAAAGCAACCAGCTGATTCGTCCCCGTGCACGCTGCAAAAGCAAAGACCTGTGATGCAAAGCCTTCTGGAGAGAGGGTGGGGGAGAAAAAAAAATCTTGGAAAACTTCCCATGATTCAAGCAGATTCGTAATTCCTGATGATTCAGAGAAGGGCCTTTTTTTTAATGGCCTTAAAAAAAATTTCTTTGTGGAAAGTCACTGAGTATTGGAAGCAGCAAGGAGCAGCAAAGCAAGGCCATGCTGAGATGGACATGACAGGGAGCAGAGGATTCAGGGCTTGTGGGGAGAGCCAGACCCTGCTGGAGGTCAGCAGGGCTGGGGGGGTTTGCTCCCATCTCCAGAACCTTCCCTGCATCTCAGCCCGCCAAGGATTCCACACGGCGCTCCCGGAGATGTGACAGATGCCTTCAGAGAGGGGAACGCAGCTCATCTCTCCCTCTAAAAATGAAAGGTTTATTAATAGCCTCGTGTTGGGAGGCAAACGTGGAGAAGGATGCAGCAGGAGGGATAACGGGGATCCCTGGGCCTCCTGTTTGGGGTGGAATGTTGAGAACCACGGAGCTCTGCCCCTGCTTTGGCCAGGAAAAAACAGGAATCAGCCCAACTCTCCCACTGACACCACCCCTTCAACTCACAGAGAGGCTGCAAAGCTCTGGCAGTGGGATCACAGACCTTTCCTAACACTTCTCTGGTGGGAAAAGGGGTCAAGAGACCTTGGGAGTTCTCTTGTGAGGGTGGGGAGGCCCTGGCACAGGTGCCCAGAGGAGCTGTGGGTGTCCCTGGATCCCTGGAAGTGTCCAAGGCCAGGCTGGACAGAGTTTGGAGCAGCCTGGGACAGTGGAAAGTGTCCCTGTCCCTGGCAGGGGTGGCACTGGATGGGCTTTAAGGTCCCTCCCAACCCAAATTCTGTAATTCCATGACCTGCTCTCACCAGAACCAGATTGGCTTAATAAAGAGAAAATATTTGTTTAACAAATGGAGTACTCCTGAGGATAACTAAGCTCCCACAGCAGCTCCTGGTGGTGCATCTCCTGGAGGAGCACATCAGCTGAGCACCACGATGCAAACACAGATCCCCAAATTTCACAGCCCTGTTCTGAGGCAGAACCTGCCCTCAGCACTCTGGACACAAGAATTAATTGACGCAACCAACCATTAAATTCATCAGTGTGAACACAGTACAGAAGGGTCAGTTACTCCCATCACTCCCCAAATTCAGCTGATTTCACGTGAATGATGCCCTGCCAGCCCCAGAGTCACTTCTGAACGTCTGTCCCACAAAAACTCATCAAGTATTGGTCACTCATGAAATTAAACACTGAAAAACTTCAGTTTTGCTTCTAGTGAAATCAGTGACCGTGCTCCTCATTCCATCACCAGTGGATCCCTCCCCTTCATCCCCAGCAGTCTGCCAACCATCTCCTCATGACACCATTTCTTCAAACACCTCAGCACCCATAAATGCTTCCTGCCACATCACCTTAGACAAATAAAAATTAAGATGAAAGCAAGTTAATTAGTCTCCTTTTTTGCCATGATTCTGGGTCCCAGTGCTTCATAACCATCAACTTCAGACTGAATTCCATGCAAGTGATGAAATACACACTGAAACCCTCACTGTTACCCCTCAATTAAATTCTTCTTATTGCCCTGATGGTTAAAATTGGCACATTAGCACAACTTGAACTATTTTTAGCTTCCAGAGCTTGTTCTCTTAACTCCATCCTTAAAGACTGAGGTGATAGAAGCGATCATTAAACCTCACAGAAAAATACACAAGAAAACAAACCAACCAAACGATCCCCATCCAAGACTCCCTCTTTTTTTATCTTCTGTTTAAACCATACCCAAACCTGTAATTTCCCAAGGCAAAAAAAAGGCACTTTAGCAACTCCTTCCTTGCGGACTCACTTTCTGGGTCATATAATAAGGGTCAAAGTCCTCCAGTGGCACAGCAACCAGCCCTTTAGGGATGTCCCCGTAGATGAAAGGCAAATTCTTGCCCGCCTCAAGGTCACTGTTTGGTTTTGGTTTGCTGTCTTCATCGTCGTCCCGGTGGCTGCTGTCCTGCTTGGAGCGCTGCTTCTTCTTCAGCTCCGCGATGTGCTTCTCGATGTTGGCCAGCGACTCCGGAGTGAAGGGTTTAAAACTCTCGGGGCCTGGTGGTGCGAGCAGCCGCGCTGCCATCTTTTCATCCTGCAGCAGCTTCTTTAGAGATGTTGCACCCCGGGCAGGTCAGCTCTGCGGGGAGAAAAACACGGGCACGAGGTCAGAACAGCGCGGGCAGAGGCACGGGGAGCCCCGCTCTGCACATCCCCACGGGGTGATGCCTTGAGGGGCTCCTGGAGCTACACACTGTTAAAGAATAAAGTAGGGGTTTATTAAAAGGAAATCCTCAATGGACACACCTTGGGCAGCACAGGAGCCTGGCCATGGCTCTTGCTGTCCACCCAAGATGGCTCACTGGCTCCTGGATCACTGTCCACCCAAGATGGACAATGGTCATGAGTTTTTCATACAATTAAATATTTTTATTTATACTTTTCGGGCCCCTGAGGCTGTAGGTGATGCCTTGAGGGGTTCCTGGAGCTACACACAGTTAAAGAATAAAGTAGGGGTTTACTAAAAGGAAATCCTCAATGGACACACCTTGGGCAGCACAGGAGCCCGGCTGTGGCTCTTGTTGTCCACCCAAGATGGCTCACTGGCTCCTGGATCACTGTCCACCCAAGATGGACAACAGTCATGAGTTTTTCATACAATTAAAAAATTTTATTTGTACTTTTCAGGTCCTGAGGCTGTAGGTGATGCCTTGAGGGCTCCTGGAACAGAGCTACACACAGTTAAAGAATAAAGTAGGGGTTTATTAAAAAGATATCCTCAATGGACACACCTTGGGCAGCACAAGAGCCTGGCCATGGCTCCACCCAAGATGGACACTCAGTCATCAGTTTTCACACTTTTATAAGTTTTGGTCCATGTCTATATTGGGTTAATTGTCCAATTCCAGCTCCAGGTTATGAAGTCCCATCCTCCCAGATTGCTCTCCTCCATTTTCTGCTGTTTGCACTTTTTGGGCCTGAAGCTGCAGCACTGTCCTTGGTTCTGGGGCTGGAAAAGGATTGTTCTGTGTGACTGAGCTGTGAGAACTTGCTAAAACACTTTATATGAAGTTCAGAGCTACATACCAATGCAGTACAGAACCTGGAAAATAGGAAAACTAAAACTGAAGGCATCAGAGTGATGCAGAGGAGCAGAGCTGCTGGTTTCATCCCCAAAACGAGCTCCAGGCACGTGCACACCAAGGCTGTCACTGCCCAAGGTGTCACTTCACTGAGTTCTACAAGCAAGAAGCAGTTTGTAGGATCTCCCCCAGCCCCACTGGTGGCCACCCCAGCTTGGGCCCTCCTGAACACAAACTACTCTAGAAAAAACATTCTGAAAAGCAACTCCATTCTCAAAGCCACTATTTTCCTGCAAAAACAGTTTGACCAGTCACTGCTCTCAGCAAAACCGATTTTTAGACAAAATTCCAAGGCAGATCAAGTTGGACCAGGTGCTGGGCCTGGCCCAGGGCACCAGCACATTCCTCACTCTGCCAACAAGGTGTTTAGCAAAGCACTCCCTGGTACACACAGGAGGAACCTGGGGCTGGGTTTACAACAGCACCAGCACCAATGTGAGCACTCCCAAAAAATGCACCTTGATGCCCTATCAGGTGTTTCTGCAGCTATGAGAAGTTCCCTAATGACTTCACCAAGTCCAGGGAGAATTCTGAATGCTCTTTAGGTAGGGCCAAGCCCTCACCAGGCTTCCCTGCCTCACCTGCCCCTGAGCACATCACAGCTCTGCACTGGGAAGTCAAATCTCATCCTTTCATTTTACAGAATTTTATAAAGAAACACCTCCCTGAGAGGGTGCTGAGGCACAGGTTATCCAGAGAAGCTGGGGCTGCCCCTGGATCCCTGGAGGTGTCCAAGGCCAGGCTGGAGAGGGCTTGGAGCAACCCGGGCTACTGGGAGGTATCCCTGCCATGGCAGGGGTGGGACTGGATGGCCTTTAAGGTCCCTCCCAACCCAAACCACTCCATAATTCTATAAATTATGAGGGTTTCTATTAATCTGAGGCCATAAAAATGCAATAATTTAAAAATACTTCCATCAAGCACAACAGTAACTCCTGAAAGTTCAAGTTCTCTGATTATTTGGGTTGGACACTGGGTCCTGTTGGCATCAGATGCACCACAATCAATAAAAGCAAAGGGAGGGCTGCGGGGCACAGGTGAGGACAAGCTCCCAGAGCCTCCAACCTGCCTTGGCAGGGTTTGCCCCATCCCTCCACGGAGCCCCTTGCTCTCCTCCACCCACTGCCACGAGCAGCAGAGCTTGAGGAAGTTGGTTCCCCCGAATGCAGCCGCCCACCAGAGCTCTGCAGCTCTGCTCCTCCTGCCAGGCCCAGAACCAGCAGCAGCAATACCAGGAATACCTTGCATTTCTGAGCTGCTGCTACCTCGTCAGGCTGTTCTCACTCCAGAAGAGGCCAAGGGAGGAGAGGAATGACAGAAACCCTGCACTGATGCAACAGCACTGCAGTGCTGCAGGCTGGAAGAGAACCCAGCCCCGACACGGTGCTTGGGGAGGGACACAGACACCAAATCCAAGAGGAAAGGCACAAAAACCATGAGGATATGGCACAAAAACCATGAGGATAGGGCATAAAAAACGTGAGACATGGCACAAAACCCGTGAGGATATGGCACAAAACCCATGAGGATATGGCACAAAAACAGTGAGGATATGGCACAAAAACCACGAGGATATGGCACAAAAACTGTGAGGATATGGCACAAAAACCGTGAGGATATGGCACAAAAACCACGAGGATATGGCACAAAAACCCACGAGGATATGGCACAAAAACCATGAGGATATGGCATAAAAACCACGAGGATATGGCACAAAACCCATGAGGATATGGCACAAAATCCACGAGGATATGGCACAAAACCCACGAGGATATGGCACAAAATCCACGAGGATATGGCACAAAAACCACGAGGATATGGCACAAAACCCACGAGGATATGCCACAAAAACCATGAGGATATGGCACAGAACAGACCCCAGAGCTGCCTGGAATAAGGTCCCTCAAGCAAGGAAAAAGATAACCAGTAAGGTCACATCTTTTAAGACAACACAAACACAGCATCCAAATAAATATTAAAGATCCGGAGGAAAGAATGACTTTCAGATTCCTTGGAAACCATGAGATGGGGTTGAATTGTTGAAATTCAGCTATTTCAGCCTGCTCAGGCCATGAGGATTGTGCTGAATTCACGTGGGAGGAGTTCAGGGAAGCCAACACAGAGAACCACAACTCTCTGGAGCTCAGTGGCCTTCAGGAATAAATAAAACCCAATAAATAACTGAGTCCTTGGTAAGAATACCTGGAGATCCCAGCCCTCAGCAGAGAATTTTCAAAGCTGGAACACTCAGTGCAAATCATTCCAGAGGGATCTCAGGTTATCCCTTGCAACTGCTGTGAGACAACCTTTTACACCCTGATCCACACATCAGTCTGAAGCTGCACCACACACGTAGGGTTCAAATGCTGTTTCCAGCTCAGGTTTTATTTGGAGATCCAAAAAAACCTGGAGTACAGATCTCCCTCCTTATGTAATTCCAGAGTGCAGCGGGGGTCAGGATTCTCTTCCTATAAACCTGAGTATTTCTAGAGCAATAACAGTGAAGACTCAAAAAAGATGGCAAGAAGGGGAGAGAAGAGCCAGTATGTTGGTCACATTATCTCTGAGACATCACCAAATGGCCTGCTGATATTAAGGAAAATTAATTTATTCTATTCTTGCAGCATTTGCATGCATTTAATTACCAAATTTCCCACATACTGTGAAACTATAGAGCAGCATTGGGGATGTGGTCTAATTGAATGGCACAGATAAATATGTAAGGCCTGAATTTAGAAACCAAAGTAGCTCAGGGACACAGCATAAAAAAGGGAAAAAATGAAGGCATGAAGGAATTTGTGCAAAATTACACAACCCACAACTGGAGGCACCAACTCAGCTGACTTCCCATTTAAAGGAAAAAACACAACCAAACCCAACAAACCAACACCATTCCCCAAATCTGGTTCACAGCTGCACATGGCAGCAGCTTCTCCACGTTTTGGCAGTTTGGAATTACTCACAGGGCTGTTTCTTGTGTGCTACCAACCCATAACAGTGACCTGAGGCTCTCTCTCCTTGGGATGGTCTTGCCTGTCCTGACTTCATTTGTTTTCCCAATAAATTATCCCACATTAAGGTAAGGGACAAAGTAAGATGTGTGGCTCCACCTCATCTTCATCAAGGAGGAACTTCCACAGCTGCTCTGCCTGGCAAAGCTTCTGGAAGCTGCAAACCTTGTAAATGTGATTTCCCAACCAGGATTGATGGATATATCCCAGGATTTATTTTGGCCCTTCCTACATCAGGTTTTTCAACCTGTAACAAGAGAAACGTTCAGAAAATTGTGACACAGGAATTTATCCTGGGAGCTTGGATTTGGGTGCACACAACACACACATTGCTCAAATGCCTAAGATTTTCCACCAGAAACTACTGCACTGAGGTGGCCAGTTGCTAAGACTTAATTATTTTTTCTAAATGTTCCCAGCAGTCCATTTACTGGTACATTATGAAATATTCCAATAAATTATTCAAGCTGATCATCAAAATAAATTAAAAAACACTTTTGAGGCAATTTCCTTGCCTTAATACACTTCTTCCTTTATTAATTACCATTCACAGTGTGTCTTTGAGGCTGAGAGACCTTCTGTGTGAATTTTTATATAACCCACATGGACACATGTGCCTCTTGATTCCAAGGTGAGGATTGAGGCAGGAAGGAAAACATGGTGTAGATGAACAGCAGCCTGAAATCCTGCTGCAGGAGAGCCTAAAAAGCTCCAAGAAAAACCAAAATATCCACCCATGGGGAAATCCACAGCTGGATTTCAGCCTCCAATCCTGCAGTGAGTCCTGGGTCTGGAACAGGCCAATTTAATCTGTGGAAAGGGTCAGTGCTGTGACCAGCAGCAGTGAAGGAGGGACCTTCCCTTTAGGAAAGCTCTCATGGCATGTTTGATGCCACAAAAGTGGAAGAGAAAGGAAATATTTCCACTCCCAAGAAGCATTTGTTGCTTGGTGTTTCCCCACCCTCTGTAAAACCTTGTGGAAGTTCCCAGTGCTTGGCTCAACAAGGGAGGTCAGGGGCAGATTGGGACAAGGCAGGGAAATGCTCGTGGTCTTGAAATGGCCATGGAAGGAAGGCCTGAACTTGGACACACACACACCTCTAAAGGCAAAATAAATGAACAGAAATGTACAGAGGAAAGAGAAAAAGCAACCAACAGCAACAGCAAAATATCAGAATCATCGAATGGTTGGTTTGGGTTTGAAGGGACCTTAAAGCTCATTCTGCTCCACCTCCTGCCATGGGCAGGGGCACCTTCTACCACCCCAGGTTGCTCCAAGCCCTGTCTAGCCTGGCCACACAGAAAACATTATTAATTAACAACACTTTCATTTAGACCGACTACAGACTGATTCCTGCAGGGTCCTCACTCCCTCCCAGCAGCTGTGTGGCTCCAGTAACATCCCTCAGTAAGTTACAAGAATCAGAACTAGTTAATCCTAGTTAATTAATTAATCCCCAGTTCCCTATTCTGTCCTTACTCAAGGCCAACTTGTGTTTATCTCCAAATTCACACAGAACTTGGAGGTTCACAAACGAAACAACCTGAAGTGTTTCAACTTCCCCCTTTAAAATTCAAACTTCTGAACAAAGAACTGTTCAAAACAGCTTTTGTGCACGAGTTCAGCCACTAACCCAAATTTAATTCCTTGCTTGGTTCATTCAGCCCATCCACGACCCATAAACCAGGAGTCAGGGAATGGTTATTTTACACTATAATTTTGGGGGAATTCATTTCTTGTTGTGGAGCGCTCAGATGGTTTGAGTACAAAGGGGACAAACATGAAAGGGGGGGAAAATAAGCAACCCCCTTCTAGTGCTCTGTTAAAAATTTCTGACGTGTGCTGGAACACAACCCAGGTTTCCCTGTGCAGTAACACTTTTCTTCCCTCCTAATCACCCCCTGACTATCTGGTCAGACAAACGTCTCCCTCCACTGATGTCAGTCATTCCTGGTTGTCTTGACATCACCATCCTGCCACTGATTTCACTCAACAGCCCAGAAAGTGGGAACACCACTGGAATGGCCACATTTGCCATCCAACCTCTGGTCTCCAGGGCATTTTCCCACCTGGGTGACAGAGATCTCACGCTGAGGAGCAGCTGAGGAGGAGAAAATCCCCCCTGAGCCTCCCTTTCTCACTCCCCACAACTCACTGCTCCCTTCTCCAGCAATCAAGGGTTTATTTCCACAATTTAAGACCACTTGTGTAGCTATTCCTGTAACTTTAACACCACTACCTGGACAATTCAGCAATGTTATGCAGTACTCAAAATCCTCAAATCACCTCTCAGCAGACTTCATTATAAACTCCTCACACTTTTTAGCTGGGGCAGAAGTACAAGAAGCATGGAATGGGACTTTCTGAAGGTAGCAAAATCTCTGAATTTTGAAATGGCTCTGTTCAAGAAGGAGCAAAGTCCCAGCTTTGGCTGTTCGTTTTCCTCAAAACTTCCCATTTTCTGGAGTGCTCCATTAGGCAGGAATAACAGTTACAGGACAAGGCCGAGGCAAGGGAAGGCAGAAGTTGCTCTAAATTTGGGACAGTATTTGAAGACAGAATCCCAGAATCAGCGAGGTTGGAAAAGCCCTCCAAGTTCATCGAGTCCCTCCTGTGACCGATCCCCAGCTTGTCACCCAGCCCAGAGCACGCAGTGCCACGTCCAGGGATGGGGACTCCACATCTCTGGACAGCTCCTTCCAATGCCTGACCACTCTTTCTGTGAAGAAACCCCTCCTGAAAAGGAGAGGGTTTTGCCTAAGCCAGAAGAAGGTGTGAAGTGTTAAAAGCCAGCCTGGAACCTGAGCTAATGTCAGGGAGGTTTTATAATACACTCCTGCAGCAGGAAGCCACTTCTTCCCTACTTGTATTCTCCACCTCTGCACAGAAATAGGATAATGAGGCACAAGAAATAGGATAGTGAGGCACAAGAAATAGGATAGTGAGGCACCAGAGGGGCAGTCCAAGCATTCCTGAACCCCACCAGATTCCAGCCACCGTCCCACAAGGACCAGCTCTCCACCCCACCATCACCAACATGAGCCATCACACGCCTTTCCTCTCCGTGGCTCCTGAAATTACTCCCCCTGTGCTTGTTCCCAACCCATTTTGTTGTTTCACTGCTCCAGCTCTAACCCAGCCCATTGCTCTGAACCCAACAATAAATTATTGATCCCAGCGTATCTGCTGATATCAATGGAGCTGCTGCAGCTCGGGGGAAGGCGATCGATGCTGAAGGGCCACCATGTGACAGCAGGAGCCCAAGGGCCACACAGCCTCAGGGCCAGCACTGAGCCATTGAAAAACAGCAGCTCTCCATCGAGGTGGAAACCCAGAGCAGGTCATTCAACGAAAAACACACCCGGGCAGCCCCAGCACCAAGCACAGACACGGCACCAAACGGGAGGAAGATGATACTGTGATTTATGGTTTGAAGCTACTTCATTTCCATTCAATGCTGACTTTGTTTCTGCTTTATTTAACAGAATGAAGGCACAGCCATGCTCCATTTCCTAAGGCACGTGATCGCTCGCCCTCTTGCCTATTAGAAACCTCCTCCCACCGAAAAGCCACAGGACTATAATTGTTCCACTGAGCAGTACAGTATCCATACCATGATCTACATCTAAGCCATACATACAAGCTTATATAACTGATTAAATTATCTGTGATGGCTCCAGGTCCTCCACCCTGAGTGAACGACACTGCAGAAGAACCCAAACGGGTTAAAATGATCAAAGAAACCTTCGGTCACGTTGTTAGTTTTATATAAAACACCAAAGTGAAGAACAGGGACTTTCTAAGTACACAAAGGGTGGAAAAGCCAAGCACTGGAGCTCCGGGAGGCCTTAGGACCGACCCAGCAGGGAAAGGTCCCAGCGGTGTGAAGGGGCTTGTTACTCCTAAAAGCACCAACTCCCCAAGCCCAGAGCTATGCAGAGATCCTAAACAGCTTCACCAACTTGACGTGGCTGCCCCTGAAGAGATCGGGAGGGCGGTGACGGCCCGAGGGGTCAGTAATGGGCACAGGGAGCGTCCCATGGGCTCCTCCAGCCTCGCCCACACCTCCTGCCCCCGGGCACGGCTGGAGGAACCGACCCCAGAGCTTCCCGAGCCTCCATCACCGACACAGGAGAACAGGACCATTTCCAGGCCCCATCTCTCCAAAGCAGGGCTGCCCTGGAAAAGCAGCACGGCCGCGCTTTCCTCCCTTTCCACCTCTAGGCAGCGGCAGGAGGGGGACAGGGACCCCGCGCCGCACCCCCAGTTCCTCACAATTAAAGCTTCCCGGTGTCAAAAGAGGACGTCCCGGTCACGGCTCCCGGTGCGGGTGGAATGCTGCAGTGTGCCAGGGCCGGGTGACCCGTCCGTACTCGGTAAAAACATCACCGGAGCCGCGCAACCCGCCCCACCTGCGCGGCCCCTCGGGGGGCTCCCGCCGACCGCTGCGACACGGCACGGAGGGGACAAGGATGATCCTCCCACACCTGGGATCACCCTCCGAAATGCAGCTCAGGGCCCGAGGGTCCGGTGCAGCTGCTCCCCTTGCCAGACTTTCCGACTTCACCCCGGATCATCCGCAGCCGCTGCCGTGGAGCACCTCCCGGCGTCCCCACCCCCACATCAGCTGGGCATCAGTTTGCACCAGAACGCAGGGGGAGGGGAGGAAGACACCCAGATTTTTTAATAGAAAAACCTCGTGAATGTGCAATTCCCTCCCAGCAGGAAGGGAAAAAATAATATAAACCAAATCTGCCCTCGCCATCCCCCCCAAAATCTGTGGCGGAAGGAAAGAGGGAAGGGAGATGCACAACCACGATGCTGACCCAACATCTGGGTCAGCTGGAACACCAAGACTGCCCCAAGCATCCCCCTGCCCGCCTCTCCCCACCAAAAAAACCCCTCCTGTCCTCCAAAATCCCCCGTCCCCGGGCAGGGGAAGCTCTGCATGCCGAGCAGTGGGAGCAGGGGGTGGTGGAGGGACAGAGCAGCGCTGCAGCGAGGGCCGAGGGGGAAGGGACACGGAGGAGAACTCGGGCTCTCCTTTCCTACAACGCACAGAGCACGGCCCCGAATTTGGGGCGTGGGAGGAGGGTCCCGTGGGCCCCCCAAGCTGTGGGGTGGAGGGGGGACGGAGGCACGGACGCAGGGAGGGATGCAGGAACAGACGGAGGGATGGAAGGACGGGGCCCAGACGGGACTCCAGGTCCAGGGTGGGCGCAGGGGGCGGTTGCCCCTTCCCAGAGCCAGTCCGCCGGCCGGGGGACGCTGATGCCGGGCCCGGCACCGTCCCCCCCACTCCCGCAGGGCCGGGGGCCCCGGGCTGCAGCGGACGGACCCTGCCCGGCCGGGACAGCGGCTGCCGGAGCCCCGCGGGCAGAGCTGAGTGGGCACAGAACCGGCCCCCCGACCCCCTTCCCTGGGTGCGGGGTGCCCGGGCATCCACCGAGGTGATGCTGAGAAGGGGGCAAGGCTCCGGGACCCTCCTCACGCGGCGGATTTGGGGCTGGGGGCTCCCCAGGCCCTCCGCCCCGCACCGCCCCACAACCCGCCTCCGGTGTCCCCGGGGCTCTCCGGGCCGCGCTCTGCGGCAGAGCCCCCGGGGGAGGTGTGCCAAGGGCTACGGGGGGATGGATCTAGCAGGACAGCAAGCGAGGGGAGCTGCGGCTGGAGCCCGCGGGGGTCTCGGGGGCTGCGACTCACCGTGTCGGGCGGGCTCAGCGCGGCCCCGGCGCGGCGCTGCCGGACTGCGGCGCGGGGGGAGCTGCGGGAGGGACTGCGGGTGTCGCCATCTTGGTGCGCTCCCGGCGCTCCCCCCGCCCGGCCGGCCCGGCCCCCGCCCGCCCCGCGCGCGCCGCGGGGGGGCGCTCCGGAGGCACCGAGAGGCGCGGGGGGAGCGGGGAACCCCCGGGCCTGGCCCGCCGTCATCATCATCGGCGTCCGTGTGTCCGCCGTCAGCATCAGCATCGCCGTGTCCATCACCAGCTTCAGCATCCATGTGTCCAGCATCAGCATCAGCATCCATGTGTCCATCACCAGCACCATCATCACCATCCATGTGTCCATCACCAGCATCATCATCAGCGTCCCTGTGTCCAGCATCATCATCAGCATCCCCGTGTCCATCACCAGCATCAGCATCAGTATCCCTGTGTCTATCACCAGCATCAGCATCAGCATCCATGTGTCCATCACCATCATCATCATCAGCATCCATGTGTCCATCACCAGCATCATCATCAGCATCCGTGTGTCCATCTCCAGCATCAGCATCAGCATCCATGTGTCCATCACCAGCATCATCATCGGCGTCCGTGTGTCCGCCGTCATCATCAGCATCCCCGTGTCCATCATCATCATCAGTATCCCTGTGTCCATCACCATCATCATCATCATCAGTGTCCATGTGTCCACCGTCATCATCATCATCCGTGTGTCCATCACCAGCATCAGCATCAGCACCCCTGTGTCCACCGTCATCATCAGCATCCCTGTGTCCATCACCATCATCATCATCCGTGTGTCCATCACCTGCATCATCATCAGCACCCCTGTGTCCATCATCAGCATCTGTGTCCATCAGCATCATCAGCATCCGTGTGTCCATCATCATCAGCAGCTGCATCCCTGTGCCCATCGCCATCATCAGTATCTGTGTGTCCATCATCATCATCATCATCATCCCTGTGCCCATCACCATCATCATCATCAGTGTCCGTGTGTCCATTGTCATCATCATCATCCCCTGTATTTGGTGCACCACAGAGTAATTAAAGGTTGGACTCCACCTTGGAGGTGTTTTCCACAAACGATTCTGCGATTCCCACCGTTCAATCTGTTTGTAGCTGCCACAAGGTGGAGGCATGAAAATACAACAGAGATCGTTAATGAAGCACCTAATTACTCCTGGCTTTAATTTGCTTTATTGCCACCAGAGGGAAGCGGAGACACACTGGTGGCTTTCCCAGGAAAGCAAAACTCCAGCGCGCCCCCAGCAGAACTGTTCCAAGCTTATTAGGGACCACTCATCCCAAGGTTATTAGGGACCTTGGATTCTCCTGGACCTGGAGCAGAGTTGTCACCTGTTAACGGCTGATCCACGCTGCCACGAAATCCTTTGGAAAACTCTGTTGACTGCAGAGCTGACAAAGTCTTCCAGAATGTGTTCATGGAGTGGTCAGTGTTGATTCAACCCAAATAAAAACCCAAACCCCACAGGCTGCATGCAGAACTAATGAATTAATAAATTGTTTCATCTCTGTCCATGATTCCCATCAGTCTGGAAGATCACTGGGAGCCCGTTCTCACCCACCAAACGATTTAAGGTGTCCTTGCACTGCAAAGACTTAAAACTGCTGTTCAGAGAGAGCACAGAGCTGCTGAGCAAACCCAGCAGCTCCCAGGGGCTGGAAAATCAACTCCCTAACAACTCTGAACTGAAACATTAATCAAACCCCTGACAGAATTCCTGCAGAGATCCAGAGCTCGGCTGAGCTTCCGAGGGCAGCACGGGCTGCTTTAAGAGACGTGACTGTACCCGGAACTGAAGGAGGGCACTTGCAGAACTTTGCCTGGGGTTACATACCAAGTTGTGCTGCCCAGTTTGTACCGGCTTGGCAACAAACTGGCAGCTCCTCCCCTGGACTCTGGTCACTGCTTGGCTGCAGCTGCACAGTTCAGTCCTTGCCTGTGACCGGACTGAGAAATCAGCTGGAGAAAAGCGTCCACCAGAGCAACCCAAGCAGCTGAATGTACTCGGAGAGGACACGAATGCAGCTCTGACTGGGCTCCCGAGCTCTGCCACGCAGGAGAAGTTCTGCTCTGCATGGATCCTCTGCCCACGCTGAAAATGGCAGAGGCCGCTGCGAGCGTCCTCCTGCTCCGTGCTGGCCTGGCACTGCTAGCCTGGCCCATCTACCTGCTGTCCTTCCTGGGCATCTGGGAGCCCTTCTGCAGGAAGGTCTTCTTTCCTTTCATCTTAGAAAAGATTTGTGGACTTCACGAGAAGAAATCAAAGAAGCACAAGCAGGAGCTGTTCCGCAATCTGCCCGACTTCAAGGGCCCCTCCGGGGAGCTGCGGCTGCTGGAGATCGGCACCGGCAGCGGCGCCAACTTCCAGTTCTACCCACCGGGCTGCAAAGTCACTTGCACCGACATCAACCCCAACTTCCAGGAGGGCCTCTCCAGAAACATGAAGAAGAACCAGCACCTGCACTACGAGCAGTTCCTGGTGGCCGCGGGCGAGGACCTGCGGCAGGTGCCCAGCGGCTCGGTGGACGCCGTGGTTTGCACCCTGGTGCTGTGCTCCGTGCACAGCGTCAGCAGCACCCTGAGGGAAGTGCTCCGGGTGCTCCGGCCGGTGAGTACCCGCAGAAAAAAACTGGTGTTGCCCTTCATGTCTGCTCTAGAGGTACCACGAGCAAGGAAAGGGTGGGGGAAAAAACCAAAAACAAACCCAGAAAAATTCAAAATAAACACCAAACCCCCCCCCAAAACAAAACAAACAAAAAAAGTGAAAAAGAGTTGGTTTGAGCTTAAAACTCAGACAAAAATTTTAAAAAAGCCAAGTGAAAAAGAGTTGATTTGAGCTTAAAACTCAGACCAAAAATTAAAAAAAAAAAAACAAGTGAAAAAGCTGATTTGAGCTTAAAACAGACTTTCAGCCTTTAGAGTGGCATTTTCATAGAACCATGGAATGGTTTGGGTTGAGAGGGACCTTGAAGATCATTTAATTCCAAAAAAACCAGTCATGTTAGGAACTAATTGAAACAAAACCACAACAAACTACTGCTGAAATAAAAGAGGGATCAAATAAGTCCGCTCTTTGTGCTTTTTGAATGGGCATTTTGAATCTCTGGACATTTCCTTCTTTCATTAATTCCAGATAACAAAGGGAAGGGAAAAAGGAAAGGGAAAAGGGAAAGGGGGGGGAAGTGGGAGCCACTTGGTGTGACCCCCACACCCGCTGTAAGAAGACTCTGTGTTCCCAGGGAGGAGCTTTCTATTTCTTGGAGCACGTGGCCGCTGAGCATTCCAGCTGGACGTATTTTTGGCAGCAGGTCTGTTACCCAACTTGGAAACTCGTCTTTGCTGGATGCTGCCTCACGAGAGAGCTGTGGAAGAATCTGGAAGAGGCGAAGTTCTCCGAGCTGAAGATACAACACATCAGCGTGGCGTTACCCTGGATGCCCATCGAGCCGCACATCGTGGGGTACGGGGTGAAGTAACCCCTGTCCTGCCCCCTGTCCCCCAAAATTCCTCATCGTGGCCCACACACCCTGCACAGGCTCCTCCACGTGTGCCCATATCAGTAACACAGTGAAGGATTAAATCAGAAATTTAATCAGAACTGTCAGGTGAGAAGAGAGGGTCAATTTCCTGAGTGTCTCTGAATCACACAAAGTTGGAAAAGCCCTTTTGGATCACAGTCCAACGGTTAACTCGGCACCAGCACCGTGTTCACCACTAACCCACGTCCCCAAGTGCCACATCCGCACGGTTTTTGAACACTTCCAGGGATGGGCACTCCACCGCTGCCCTCAGCAGCCTGTGCCAGGGCCTGACAGCCCTTTCCATGAAGAAATCTTTCCTCCCATCCAATTAAACCTGCCCTGCCATACCTTGAGCCCTGGCACTGCTGACCCTGCCTTGCTAGAACCCAGCACAGCCAGGGAGGATCCCAGGACAACAAAAACCAGCCCGGGAAGCAGAAAATAAATGTATTAATGGAAAGGGACTGCTGTCTGTGCCTGATTGACTCTGCAACAGGGATCCTTCAGGTGCTCCCCACCTGAAGGGGCTCCCCACCTGTCACTGGGGCTCCATGGCACCTGCTGCCCCCTCCCCACACTCCCTCACGGCTGCTCCACCGGATGGAGCCTGAATCCCAAACATGACCCTTGGCCCAGGCGAGGGTGAGACCCTTTGACCCTTGGCCCAGGTGAGGGAGGGACTCCTTGACCCTTTGCCCGGCTCAGGATGAGCCCCCTGACCCTTTGCCCGCTGAGGGCGAGCCCCCTGACTCTTTGCCCGGCTGAGGGCTCCCTGCAGGCGGTCGCTGAGGGCAGGCCGGCCCCTCCCGCCCCTCACCGGCTCCTCCGTCCGCGCTCCCGCGCCGTCCCGGCCGTCCCAACGGCCCGGTGCCGGTGCCGGTGCCGAGGCCGGCCGTTCCCCGCGGGGTTCCCCGCGGGGCTCCCCTCAGGCCCCGCAGCCATCTTCGGCCCTCGCCGGCGATGCGGCGGGCGCGGCCCGCGCTGCCGCTGCTGCTGCTGCTGCTCGCGGGGCCCCTGCCCTGGGGGGCGGCCCCCACCGACCCTGTGGACGGTACCGGGACCCAGCGGGACCCAGCGGGGCCGGGCCGGGGCGGAGGGGTCGGGGAAAGGGGCAGCGAGCGGGGAAGAGCCTGAGCGGAGCGGGGCTAGGGGCGGCGGAAAAGTCTGTCGTTTGTACAGAAATCTGGTGAATTCCGTAAAGCAGCGGCGACTGAGCGCGCTTAACCGCAAATCTATACACCAGAAATACACCTTTGTCAGATAAATACGGCGTATTTCACATGGGCGGAGGAAGTCCCAGGTTCCCCAGACGCAGGGGTCTGTGAGGCAGCGGGTCCTGCAGGACAGAGAGCCGTGGCATGGTTCTGGCTGGGACGGGGAAAGCTTACAGCCCAGCCAGTGCCACCCGTGCCAGGGCAGGGTCACCTTCCGCTGTCCCAGTGCCCCAAGCCCTGTCCAGCCTGGCCTTGGGCACTGCCAGGCATCCAGGGGCACCCACAGCTTCTCTGGGCACGCTGTGCCAGGGCCTCACCACCCTCACAGGGAGGAATTTCTTCCCAATATCCCCTCTAAGCTTCCCTCTGGCAGTTGTCCCTTGTCCTGGTACTCCAGGCCCATTTATATGCTCTCTCTCCATCTCTCCTGCAGCTCCTTCGGGCACTGAAAGGCCACAGTTAAGTCAGCCCAA